GCTGATGTATCAGAGGTCAATCAATACAGAAAAATATTCATTATAGGTAAAACTTTCTCAACTTATCTACAAGAAATGTTATTAAACCATGTGATTTGAAAAAGATTTAATGTAAGTATTTTAGAAATACTGTCATATCTTTACCAAAACATTAAACATTACATAAAACATTCGATCTTTAAAAAATAGAATATCCGCCTAATTAACACATTACAATTTGAATAATGTTTATTCTATATCTTGCTTTTCTTATAAATATACAAACCAAAAATGTATATGTGATATTTCTCATAGTTATAAATATTGTATATTTGAAACATATTAAACAAGTCTAATGTATCCAATATCTGAGAACAGGTTGCTTTGCTTTTTATTTTAAAAGTTGGATTGAAGAGAAATAGTTTTGTTTTGACTGCACATCACTGGTATACTTTGAATAATGCGTGGATTAACACAAAAACTAGCTCAAGAAGTGCTGTTAAACCTGCTTATCTTTCATGTAATTGGCTTTTAGACAAATCCTACTTCATTATTCATCAATCTACTGCTATATTAACCTTATAGAAATCATATCAGTTTCAGGACAAGGATTATCATGAATCACAAAACACAAACTGTAAAACAGCACTTCAATATAAATTAAACATCTGATCCCCAAAACAAAACCAGACTGCCAGGACAAGATTTGCAACATAATAGAAATCACAGGAAGCATAAAAAGTAGTACATGGAATTAAAAAATAACCTAGAATTCCATACTTTAAAAATATTGTAGACAGTAAGTACTATGATTTCCATAAATATTTTACTCCTGACTGGAATGCCTCACTTGAGTGTATCAATCTGATATACAAGAAGTTACGAAAAGGCAAAAATTTCTAGGAGATCAAAAGCACAGAGGGAAATAATCTGTCGGGAATTAACTAACTTTAACACATTTGTCAAATTATATTTCTTTTGGAATATGAAAATAAGTTAACTGAAAACTTTTAAACCATGTATGTAATACCTCTCTTGATCCAGAAGCTAGGATTTATCTTTATTTATTTATTTATTTATTTGTGCATTATAAATAAGTCTTGGTAAGAGCCAGAGTGCCTATTAGATCACCAGCAAACTGTAAATATAACTGAGCTCTTATTTTAAATTTGTGGCATTGCTGCTAGGCATTTCCAGAGCAAATGTCTGCAAACTACAAACAGATTGTGCCTTTGCAATTCAGACCAACACTCACTGCAGACTATTCCAGTACCACTGAACTCATTCTCATTTGAAGCTAATAAATACATGAACTCAGGGTCTTCAAATCTTGGAGTCTATTATCTAGACGTTAACTATCTGTTCCTCCACATCTCTGTTGCTTGCTTACATTTCATGCAATAGATTAAATTCAGTGGGTATACTCACCACCTCTGCCCAAAAAAGTGAGAAAGGTATTTATTTAGATTCTCTATCTTCTGATCTTGATTGATACACTACCAGAATATAATTTTAAAAATAATTGGCAATCAAGAATATGGGTCCATCACATCAATAAATAGTGTCATTTATGTTACTCTCGTTGATGTAACTAAGCTTGAGATGCCTGTGACTTGTGGAAGATGGGAGGACCCATTACCTTTTACATGTCTGTGATTTTTTAAATCAAAATTGTTAATGGGTATTTTAAATCACTAAGTGTGGGAGTAACAGAATAGGGGCAATGGATAACATATTTTTTTTAAAGTTTGATAGCATGAAAATCTTTCACAAATTATTTCAAACAGTATTCATAAAGTAGGACTCACGGAGTATTATAAAGCTTAATTCATAGTTTACATTTAATATCTTCTAGAGGGATAAATTTGAAAAAATTGACTTCTAATAATTTGAGACTATTTTAGAGGTCCACCTATAATCTCATTACTAAAGGCAATAATAAAGAAGATATGACAGTCAGCACAGTGTGCCTATTACACATTTACTTGCACATTTTAAATTATTTACCATAAATAACTGGACAATGAAAAATAAAATCTTAAAGATTAGTCAAATGATTAACTAAAAAGTGCAAAGGTCAGATAATTGCACTGTATGTAATGTTTATAAGTAAATGGGTCTGTTAACTGGTTATAGACCCAAAATAAAGAAATCAGTCCCTTATCTATCTACATTTTAAAATAACATGAAAGATTCGGGGAGTTGAAAGTACACCGTGTTTTAGACTTCTCTTCATTATATTTTGTTCCAGATTAAGATAGAAAACAAACAAACAAACAAACAAATCAGTTTTTTCCAGTTTGGTGACTTCTGAACATCCTGGGTTTTGGCAAATGTAGAATGTGTGTAAAACAGGCTGGAGTAATAAAAGCCCTCTGTCAGTGGGTCCCAGAAGAGGGATCTTCATACTTATAGCTGAGGTTCAGCATTTTAAACCCACAAGATCTGAGATCAGATGGCAGTCACACAGATTGAAAGAAATCTGAAAAAATACATGTTGCTATATCTATGTCTGTAAAATAACCTCAGAGCTTTTCAGCTATTTTTCCCCAAATAGTCCAAGAACAGAATCAGGCATTTTCAATATATAATTTGTCTCATTCTAATGTAATTTTCTAATATAGGTCAAAAGAGATGTGCCCAGAAGTTCATGATTTATCCCTGTGGATTACAAAGTGAGCCCAGGGTAAATAAGGCAGGGACTCAATGTAAACTCATTGTAAATGTCAAAAGGCTGATGAGATGAATCCCTCTTCGTGGCATGAAAAGTCTTCACAGCCCTGCTATAAACTGAGACAGAGACACCAGCAATCAGAAAGAAGCCTGAGAGAAATTATTTGTGATTGCTGGAAAAAGTTATCTATCAGCTGAAAGAATGTCTCCTGCCCCGTACCTGTCTGCAGCCTGGACAACAAACCATGAGCCATCATCAGTCTTAGTCAAAGGGGAGGTTAGCAGCTGGCTGAACAGTTAAGTCTTTCCCCTCCCATTAGCCTCCCTTAGAAAAACATCTTTATTCACTCTTAAATTCCTCTTCTTCCTGTGTTATCTACCTGGAAAATAGAAGTCAAGCAAATCTGTTTTGAATTTCTAGGAGTGATACCAACTGATATTTTCTAGCACAAGACACAATCAAGAACTACTATTCCTTCTTTGTTCTGCTTAAAGTTCTCACAAAATGATGCTCAAACTAACCTGACTCATTTTGATAGGCAAAACAGGAAGGACTTAGATAAGCAGCAGACACAGAACATCAATCAAGAATTCACAAGTAGCAAGTCACAAGCAGATAGAAAGAGAGTATAGTTAAATTTCACTTAAACATATTTGGATAAAAATGCAGTGAAATCATGCTTACTGTCTTGCATAAAATTAATTGAGTCCTTGGCTGAATTTTATGCAGACTGAATTTCTCTGCTGCATTGCAAAATTTTGAAAATCAAACAGATTGGCAATTCAGTATGGCAATTCAGAATCTGTCTGGCTGATGAATCCCATTTTAAACTTGCATTTTGATATTTTCTTCAAAAGACAGAAATGTAGCATCCTAATCCCATCTAAGAAAAAGACAATGATTCCTTGGACCTGTGTGGCTTTTATTCAGTGCTCATTTGTTCTGTTCTGGTCTACAGTTCAGCTTAAGTTTGATGTATCATATTAATCTATTTTGTAGAAGTTGATCAATTAACTTGAGAAAACTCTGTGTAGTGTTGATTCAATCATATAACAAGCATAATTTAATACAAATCATGCATCAGACATTGATTTTTCTCAACTGCTTGGTAGAATTAGCATCACTAAAAGATGCAGCCAAGCTGAACTAACAATATTAAGCATTTCTGCAATTTATCTCTTGCTATAATGAACAGTAAGTGATATAATGACCAACAAGATTAATGATAAAATAAACATGCTAGTTAGATTCACTCCACAGTTCAATTCAAGACAGTGTGACTTGAAATAATAACTGGGAATGCTAATATAAAGATGAACTTATTAATGGAATTTGAAAAAAAATATTTATCCAGTAGTTATTTTTTAGCTATATAAATTTCAAGTTCCCAGAATTACTGCTGCTAGTGTTAATATCAGTAGATAATCTGGCGAAAAAAAAAAGCCCAAACATAAAAATTTCAGAATAATTCAAATATTTTTGCTATTTAAAGCCATAAAAATAATTTTCTATTTCTTCACAAGCATCAACAATTTGTTTTGGGTTTCTTTAGCACTTTTTATTTATGTTAAGAAACCTACCATTCACATGAAGCTTTTAGATTTTGGACCAGAACAAAAGGAAACAGAAGTTCAGTATAAAAGAAAAAATGATGGAACTGTTTATGAAAAGAAATTATTAGAAATGTCTTCTGTTTTAATTTATAGCAGATATAGTTAATAGTGAAAAATCATGCTGACTCCTTATCAGTGGTCAAATTTCATTTGTTACATTTCTGTTCTTGTATTTTCTGCTTGTGTGTGTGTGTTTTATTATTGTTTGGGTTTAGTGGTTTTTCTGTTTTGCTGTTTTGTTGTTTTTTTTTTTTTTCCCAAACACTCTAAAAATCTCGTTCTCTGCTGAAAACACTTGCCACTGGCACAGACCCTGCTCTGCTCTCTAGTGTCATCTCCCAGGAAAGCAGAAGTCAAGCAAATTTGTTTTGAATTTCTGGGACTGATACCAACATATTTTCCAGCACAAGTGTAAGGGTCGGTCCAAAGTTTCCCTCATTTTTTTCTCTCGACCATTGCAAGGAGACCTCGAGGATCCCCACCCAGGCTGACTCCCAACAATGGTTTCCTGGCCTGGCCACGATGGATGCTTGTCAGGTGACTGTGTGCTGGTGTATTGTGTTCACTGGACTGTGCTGTTGTGGCACCAACCAGAGACTGTGTTGTACCAACTGGAGACTGGATGTACTACCATGACCTCACCTGTCTCCTGCAGAACCACACAATGGTCCATAAATCTTCCCACCTCTTGGCCAGAGGCCACTCGCTTTGGAAAAGGACTATGAAAGAGCGACCCTCTGGAGAAGACCCTTTGAGATCTCCCCACGGATGAAGACTCGTCTATTGGCTGGCCCATGAGGATGTCCGTCTCGTCTTGTTGGTAGCTATTTTCCCATCCCCTTCTTTTTCTCTCTCTATACTTTGTTTCCTATATCTCTCCCCTCTATTGCAACTGAGTTGTTGGCATTTAATAAAAATGAATTGCTGTTGTTGAATAAACTGATTTGTCCCCTGCATTTTGCCTGTTTGCACCTCTGAGATCAAACGAACCATCACGACCCCCGCTCTGTATTAATCGCAGATTGTGACAAGTCACAGTTTTCAGAAGGAAATCAAATGTTTAGGTTACCAAGCTGTAAAGAAGGTCCCTTGTGACCACAGAGAGTTACTAGAATTTTGGACTGACCATAAGTCTAGTTTACTATCGTGTTATGAGCTACTGCAGATATTCTCTGTTTCATGGCATCAATGCTCTCATTGCATTGAAAGTTGCCTAACTGCAGTGTAATTTCTATGAAGTTTAATTTCAAATGCCTAATGGATGAGAAGGACAATGTTGAATGCCACAAACGGAATCAATAATGAATAATATTTTGTATTTGGTGATAGAAAACTGAATAATTCTTGCAACTACTCAGCCAAACCATGTCACTTCGATTTTACATACCAAACACAAAGAATTGTTTTTATACTGGTTAAGACTTTTTCTTAGCAATTTGTTGGCAAGTAATTTCAAAATGCTAATTGCAAAATATCCGAGTGCTTTGTGCACAACAAATCAGTTGCTTTTTTGAGTATTTTTTTGTAAGCGAAGTTTTGAGAGTTTGTTTTCCATATGCTAAAAGAACTTGAACGTAGTGGCAAGATGCTACTGTTTCTGAGATCTTCAGCAATGGCAAGATAAGTCATGAAGCAACATTGACAGCTGTTTCATTAATTTACTATAGTCTGGACTAAAAAAAATTCATTTATATATTTTTAAAATTTAATAAGCAATCATAAATACAGATAAACAGTGTATCTTAAACACCACTCTGCACTACTTCTTTTTGTGTCAATGATATGAAAAATAATAATAGCAAAGTCTTAGCTTTCGATTCCACAGCCTACACAAACTACCTAATCAGTGATCAAATATCCATGAATATTCATTAAAATTCTTTACTATTTTATTATTACTATGGTCATAATTCAACTCCCCCACCCTCCAACAAAACAAACCAGGGAAAAGCAAAAAAGAAGTAAAATTTCAGATAACAGCTTTTTGAAATTTTTGTTATGTATTTCTTAGTTGAGCAAATCTGCTAGAAATTAATCATCTCCACTGAGCAAAGACAGGGAAGAAATTTCCTTTGTACTCAGTCAAATGGTGAAGATTTCAAATGTCCTAAAATGCCAAAATTGATCTGCTTTACCAGCATTGTCCTTCAATACACAATTTAGGACTTTAGTATATCTTGACAGAGTCTCTGTTTTTTACAACAGTTTGAAAAGTTTCCTCTACCTCACTATAATATCAAAATTTGGCTTGCTTATAGCAGTATGGTTGAATATAGACTTTCCAAATTTTCCCTCTGTAACAGAATAATTCTCATTATCAATTTTCAAATGTAAAAGGTTGGTTTTTTGTCATTATAAATTTACTCTTGACTTAAAAATATTAATTGAAAGAGGATGGTTTGGTATTCCATTTATGGGATATGAAAGACTGAGGAAGACAAAGCTTTTAAAGGAAAATATCAGAAGCTACAGAGATTTTACCCACCACACCAAATCCATGATGTCGCAATTATTCTTTCAGACCTTAGCCTGAGTCCTTAAGACTTAAAGACATTTACAAGGCAGGGTCAAGAATTAAAGAAGCTGAGTGAGCTGTTTGTTGTGACCTGTGAGTGGAGAGATTGGAAATTACAAGCAGGAGTCAAAATAAAAACAACTCATCTTGTAGTTTGTCCTTCCCAGAGGCAGATATCAAGGACAATTTTTGAAGACTGAGTAGAAGGATAAAAGTCTGGAAGATTTCTTTCCTGAAGAATGTCCAAACATAGACTGCTTTTCCATTCAGGATTGCATCCCAAAAGACTCTGACAACCAGGCCACTAAATAGTCTAAAGTTTGCCCACCAGAAGTCCAAGGCAGCAGTTCTGCTGATCCTGGTTGTTACTTCTCTGGCCATTAAAGTTCTATCATTTAAATTCTGTGTCCAAGACAACCTCCAGTCATCATACCACCTATAAATCCTTCTCTATTTGCAAAGAGGTCCAGTGGGGCTCTATCTATAAATTTCCTTTCACCAACTATGTCAGGAAGTGTCTCCCACACAGGAATGCTCCCTCCAGGCTTCTAGATTGTTTCCTCCTACATGTGTTTCATTTCCAGCAAATATCTGATAAGTTGGAGGCCCTCACAAGGGCAAGAACTAGATTTCTACCAGCTACTTGCAGAATATTCCATCTGTCTCTTCATGCTGGTTGGATGCTTGATAACAGACTCCAACCAAGATATCTGCCTTGCTGGCTATTCCCAGCTCTTCTAAACACTTAACCCTGTTTTCACCATTGCCAAACTCAAGCCAGTAAATACACCTCCTAGAATAAAAAACAACTCCCCTATGCCTTCTGAGGAGTTTGTAGCCATCTGTTACAGCATTTATGGTGGGGTTCCTGAATCACCCACCATGTTTCTGTGATTGCAATTATATCATCATTTTCCTGGATTTCAACTTCTCATGTTTGTTGTCCATGCTGCCATGAGTTACTGTAGATTCACTTTAGCTGAGCTATTGGTCCCATCATCTATTTGGGTGGAGAAGTCCTAATTCCTATGTGAAAATTCTCAATTTTTTCCTGTGGTTTCTAACACATCAGCAGCTATTACACCTCTGCTGCTGGGTGTATCTCCATTCCATGGTTCCACTGAGGTTACTATGATGCTATGGACATTCCTAAAGGGATGTTTCAAATGTGCTCTTGTGTACCCAGCATATGACAGAACAGATCAAGCAGCAGACATCAGGCTTTGATACACTACCTCCAGACTTTCCTCTAGTGAGCCTGGTTCTAGCTTTTCCCTCTTCAAATCTAGTTTAATGGTCTTTCAACAAGCCCTGACAAACCCCTGCACAAAGATCCTTTGAGGCAGGTGTATCACATCTGCTGCCAGCAGGCTCAGTGTTTTGTAACATGAATTAGACTAGAGTAGATGAGACTAGGCAAGGCAACACCAGAACAGTGCCAGCTGGAAGTGACTTACAGTGATCATCTAAGCTAAGTGTCAAAATATCAAATTCTGCACACTTTTCAAGTTTGTCTTTCTGCACTTGAGACTTCTTCTGGTTGGCTAGTAGAAATTTAACTTTAGTATGTTTGTTTACTTTTTTTTTTTTTTTTTTTGTTTTTTTNTTTTTTTTTTTTTTTGTGATTTTGCTGTTTGTTCGTTTTTTTATTTTGTTTTGTTTTCTCTTTTTTTCCATGAAAGTAAGAAATTACAAGGAAGGAGAAAAAAATAAAGCTCAGATTAGAAGTTTCAATAAAAGCTATGTATGTCAAAATATATATCCAGTATTTATTAAAATTAATCTGAATGAAAAAGAAGAGGTACAAAAAGCATATTGGCTAACAATAAAGGTTCTAGAAGAAATCTGAAGCTATTGAAACTTATCCTTTTACAGAAAAGAGTCCCAAAGCAAAATTCCCATAGTGCACTAGAAAACTGAGAAATTCTGAAAATGGATGAAATTATTTCCTAACCATGTCTTAATTGGTGTTCACATTGCTGTCAGGAAGTCCTTTACTCTTTCCTAGGTTGCTTCACTTGATTTCATGGCAGGAAAACCAGCTACAGTTACTTTAGCCACATACAATTTTTAATTTTGATCGTTTTACCCAGTAATTCCATGCAATTACTATATATCATGTAAGCAATGTGTTTTCATTTGCCCTGGATTTATTTGCTAATACTTTGAGAGCCCCTTTTTTCTGTTACGGTAGGTGACTATTAAAGAGGGATTGATTACCATCGAAACTTTGTGATTTCCTTAAAGCATCCAAGTCCCTTGTTTATTTCTTTCTAATTTGTGCTATCTTTTCTTGCATATAAAGCCAAACAACTTCACAATACACCTCTTCATCCCTTCAGGTTTCCATTTATAATTTGAAATGAAGACAGCACATTATCTGCCTGGTTCTTCCCTGACAGGAGTAGTCAAGTACATCTGCATAAGATAAGGGTCTGGCTGTGAGAAAAAAAAGATTATGCCTGTGTGAACTTCTGCTGATAGAAACCAGTGTTGGTGCTTTTGAAGGCTTTGAGCATCTGTGGGTAATACGAAGAAAATAAATAATGTTAAATTCTGTTGAGATCTAGCCTTTACAAGGAGGGACAGCTGATAAATCTAGGTAATAAATTTTTCCTGTTCTGTTCCCTTTTTTTACTACGTTTTGCCATCTGATGGTCTTCTCACCACTACATTTTTCAACCTGTCATGCATCCATGCAAGTAACTGATATTCTGATATTCTTAGGTGTGTCTGCCTCTTTGTTGCACACTCACATTTGACCCTATCTATCAATACAAGGACACCTGTGATGTAGTTGGCAGCCAAAAACTGCTACTGAATTCATGTGGTCAGAAAAATTTTGGAGAAAAACTTTTTCACTGATGTTCTGTGTATAATTTAAAATGTTCATGTTAATGCACATTCCTGGACAAATTGCAACATCTTTCTTCATCGGTGCTTCATCTTTCATATTGGTGATTAATATCTTTTGATCAATATGGTGTCATTTACAGTCATACAAATCCAAAAGTAATTTCATGAAAAATAATAAATAAATGAAAAAGAAAATAATTTGTATTAGAAGTACATTTAAAGTAAGGGTTCATCGTAGAGAAAGAATGGCTTGTGAGAGAAACCAGGGACAGGATAATAACTTCATTAAAGAAAAAAAAGTCCTATTTCTTGCAAATATCCTGGCATACGCTCTCAGAGTGTTTATCATATCTTTAAATATTCTAGTTGGATTATATAGTTTTAGTTTGTTTGATGCCTGATGTGATCCATGCAATGGTCCTAAGGGAGCTGGCAGAAATCCTTTCCAAGCCACTGTCCATTCTCCAGCAGTCCTAGCTAAGCAAAGAGCTCCCATTTGACCTGAAGTTATCAAGTGTGGTAAGGAGGATCTGGGACCTACCAGCCTGTCAGTCTGACCTGGGTGCAGGGGTAGATTGTGGAGCAGATCATTGTGAAAGACATCTCACAGTAAGTACGGGAAAAGTAGGAGATAATGAACACAGATTTATGAA